CGAGAGAGAGAGAGAGAGAGAGAGAGAGAGAGAGAATGAATGGGGGGATGTGAGATGAAAGTTGTACAGTCCTGTTCTTTTTGGAGCCATTCTTAATTTTTTTTTTTTTAAATCAAGATGGTGATTTTATAATCCTAACCCTAAAAATAAAATTAATGAGTGATGCATTTTGTCTGCAAAGATAAAAGTAGTTACTAAATGCTTAATTAAGGAGTCGTTCAGGGCTGCTGTGAAGAACTGCTTTATTAAATTGAATCCCTCTGGCTCAGAGTCACAATGGTGTATCCGAGAGGCAACCAGTGGATGAGGAGCAGGCTGCCACTTAGGGTTGCCAACTCTAGGTTGGGAACTTCCAGGAGATATGAGGACAGAACTTTGGAAGGGCAGAATTTGGGGAGAGGAGGGATCTCAGCAGAGAAGAGATGCCATCGAGTCCACCCTCTGAAGATGCCATTTCCTCTAGGGGAACGGATCCCTATCGGTGTTCCCTCTAAGCTGTGTTAGTGTGAGCTAGCTCACAGGTTTTTAGCCTCCGGCTCACACACTTTCGCCTCAGCTCAGGAAGTGATGGCTCCAGAGCAAACTAATCTATGCAGCAGCCGAATTGCTCACTCACAACTTTAATGCCAGCAGCTCACGAAGTAGAATTTTTGCTCATGAGACGACTCCACAGCTTAGAGGGAGCGTTGTTCCCTATAGTCCGGAGATCACTTGTAATTCCAGAAGAACTCCAGGCCCCACCTGGAGGCTGGCATCTCTACGTGCCACTTGACCCTGTCTCCCTTGTTGTCTCAGGATGGACAGTCAGTGTAGTGTATTCAAAGCTGCCTTGAATGCATGACATGTGGTGAAACATCTAACTGAACGGTAATGTTAAGCTTCGTCCTGGGCTAGGATCCAAATCCATCCAATAGAATTGCTAGCCCAGGAAGTAACAAGCCAATCACTTCAAGCAAGCTCCCTGAGCGGGAACTAATATGATTGGACCTTATCTCTGCAACCTCATAGGTTGATATTTGTACAGTGGGTGTGGCTATATTAGCCAGGAATGTTTAAAAGCAGGACAGCTGCCATGTAAAGGCTGTTCTGGCTATCAGATGTTGATCCGTGTTGGAGTTGTGTTCGAGTTGAAGAATAAAGTTGTGTTCTTGCTGAATCACTCTCCGACTGCTTTGTTAAGTGAGCGACTTAACAGTCAGGCTGTGCGCTGCTGCTGCTGTCTACAGGGCAGCTGCTGTCTACAACCTGCATTTGTATCACTCTCTTTCCAAAGGCAGCCCAGGGCTATGGGGACAATGAGACGCTGTTGGGGAAAGAGGTGCTGCATTGTAGATGGGGCCTGGGGAGGACAGCAAGGGCCATGGCTTTGCTAGTGGTCTGAGTGGGAGCAGCGGAAATCAATTTAAAGGCCGTTTTTATCCCTTTCGTCCTCCAACAAGATGAGGAACGTGGTTCTTCCCTCCTGTATCCTAGCATCACAGCAACCCTGGGAGGGAACGAGAGAATGACTGGCCCTAGGTCACTCTCAGCACAGACCCAAGTAGAGTTACAACGTTCTAAGTCCATTGAAGCCAATGGGCTTAGAAGGATGTGATCCTGCCTCAAACTGCACCTTCACTGAGCTTAATGGCTGAGCAGGGATTTGGAGCTGGGTCTCCCAGGTCCTCATTTGACACTGCAGAGAGGAGAAGAAGAAGAAGAGGAGGGAGGATATTGGATTTATACCCTGCCCTTCACTCAGAGTCTCAGAGCGGCTTCCAAACTACTTCCCCTCCCCACAACAGACACCCTGTGAGGTAGGTGAGGCTGAGAGAACTCTGACAGAAACTGCTGTTTTTCAAGAACAGCTCTGACAGAACTATGGCTTGCCCAAGGTCATCCAGCAGGTGCAAGTGGAGGAGTGGGGAATCAAACCCGGTTCTCCCAGACTAGAGTCTGCGCACTCAACCACTACACCAAAGTGGCTCTAAAGTGAGCATAAGTAGTCAGAGGGAAAATGGGTACACTTTACTGAAGCCAAGGGCGTCAGGTTGTATGACCATTGCCACATGTCTACTTATCTCATTTTAGATATAAAGTTCATTACGTTTCATGAGTTCGGATGTATGAAATAGGATTCTGTGTATGTGGTAAGTTTGCTCCGAATCCAGAGAAATGATGCTCGGCTTCTGTGAGTGAAAGCAAAGAGGAATTCCTAGGTCCTCATTACACAACCCTTGTGTCTGCCTTATCCTTTGTGACAACTTGTCTGCAACTGAATGTTAGCTAATGGATGGTGCCATCCTTTTAACTACCTTTTTTATGGAAATTAGAAACATTGAGGGTATGTTGCTATGAAGCTTAATCACCCTGACCCTTAATCACCTACTAGTGGTCTTCATTTTTGGCTTCAAAACACCATCTTCCATAAATGGCATTTTAATATATCTGTATGTGATCTCTATATCATTACAGTTGCTGCTAAAAAACTGCTTTTACAAGAACTTATATGACCAGAAGGAACAAAATCTACAGGAAATTGAGAAATTTCTTAATGAACATAATAAGAAAAAATTTACACCAGAACAAAAGAAAATGTTGAACGAACCAATCTCCCCTGGCGAGATAACAGCAGTCCTTAAAAGATTAAAAACAAAGAAAACACCAGGTCCTGACGGTTTATCATCTGAATTCTACCAGGTGTTTAGTAAACAGATTGAAAAGCCTTTGAAATTGACTATTCAAAATATTATAGATAATAAAAGAATTCCGAAATCCTGGGAGGAGGCTCTAATTATTTTAATACCTAAACAACAAACTGACATAACGCTGATAAAAAATTATAGGCCAATTTCACTTCTTAATAGTGATTATAAAATATTTGCTGCTATTTTAGCGAATAGGCTTAAAAATGTCTTGCAACAGGTTATACAGAAAGACCAAGCAGGATTCCTGCCCCAAAGATATTTAAGAAATAACATCAGGTCTATATTAGACATCCTAGAATTCTATGAAAGCAATCCCAGTAACCAACTAGCCTTGTTATTTGTTGATGCCGAGAAGGCATTTGATAATGTAAGTTGGGAATTTATACTGAGACAATTCAACCACTGGGATTGTGGAGATAGTTTCCTTAATATGCTGCAAACAATATACCAAAAACAAGAGGCCAAAATAACATTTAATGGTTATTTAACCAGTAAGATACAAATACTAAAGGGGACAAGGCAAGGATGCCCGCTGTCCCCCTTACTGTTTATATTTGCGATAGAACAACTTAATGACATGATAAGGGCAGACTATTCAATTAAAGGTTTAAATGTGAAAGGAGAATCATTTAAAGTCTTGGCATATGCCGACGATTTGGTGTTGGTACTAGAGGACCCTTTGACATCTTGCACGCAACTTCTATATACACTACAGATATATGGTCAAGTGGCGGGATTAAAAGTAAATCACCAAAAATCTAAAATAATAACAAAGAATTGTTCTAAAGAGGTCGAAAAGAGACTACAAAAAGAAACAGGGTTTCTAATAACAAAAAAAATTAGGTACCTAGGAATCTGGATAACGAATAAGTCCTGTTCTTTATATAGGATAACTATAAGAACTTACTGATGGAAATTAAAAAAGACCTAGAAAAGTGGAGCGGTTTACAATTGTCACTATTAGGTAGAATTGCCACGATTAAAATGGCAATTCTCCCGAAAGTAATGTTTTTATTCCAAACAATACCTATCTTGAGGAACCAGGTTTTCTTTAAGGAGTTAAATAAAAGCTGCTTGACATTTATCTGGCAAAAAAGGAAACCGAGACTTAAATTGCAACTGTTGCAGACCAAGAAAGAGTTAGGTGGCTTTGCATTCCCAGTGTGGGAGCTATACTACAAGGCGGCGGTTTTACTATGGGTAAAAGAATGGGCAACTCTCTCCAATACTAGACTCCTCAAATTAGAAGGTTTCGATCTTCCGCAAGGATGGCATGCTACTCTTTGGTATGACAAAGAAAAGAAGTATTTTGAACGGCATTATATGAGAGGATCTCTGATAAAAATTTGGAGGGAGATTAAAACGCAGTATTATAAGAAGGTTCCCAGATGGGTAGCCCCCCTGGAGGCTTTAGAGATTCCGTCCTTATATACACAAGGCGGAAAGTGTACCTATGAGAACCTGTTGGACACTATGAATAATTTAAAATCAATAGATACTTTGAAAAACCAAGAAATAGAAATGTCCTGGCTACAGATTATGCAACTGAAAGCTAGATTTAAGGAAGATGCGAGAATTGGTTTTTATAGAGAACCAACTGACTTAGACAAGATATGGCTTACACTAGAAACACAATTGATAAAAAGATTATATAATATCTTATTAGAGGGGAAACTACAAGAAGATGTAGTATGGGCCAGTTTAAGAGCATGGAATAAAGATCTAGGTTTTACGATAGACCAACGTAAATGGATGAAAGTTTGGGAGACTAATTTGAAAATCACGAGGGCCTCGTCTTTCAAAGAAAATATCTTTAAGGTAGCACACAGGTGGTATTTATACCCCTCGCGATTGGCAAAGTTTTCTAAGTCCGCGACAAATATCTGTTGGAAGTGTCAGCAAAATACTGGTACATACTTCCACATGTGGTGGACTTGTGCAAAAGCCAGGGATTATTGGGAGAAGGTTAAGAAAATGTTATTAGAGGTGTTGGAAATAGAGGTACCTCTACAACCTGAAATCCTTCTATTAAATATGATACCAGAAATAGGAGGAAAGGAAGGGAAAAGTCTGTTGTTATACTGTATTACAGCGGCTAGAATTTGCTATGCCAAGTATTGGAAAACAGAAAGGACTCCAGGAAAGTTGGAGGTAGCTCAGAAATGGCTGGAAGTCGCTGAAATGGATAAATTGTCAAATGTGTTAAAAGGGAAAGACAAGGAGATAATTAACAAAAAATGGAAAAAGTTATTTGAATGGAATATTAAACAAAAAAGATAAGTGGAGATTAGGAAATCAGTAAGAGAAAAAACATTAGGCTGTATGCTCGTCTGTGTTAACTGATCAGTATTTATGTTATGTTCTGTTATGAAGGTCGGGAGTGGGTGTTTGGAAAATTAATAAAAAATATTCACAAAAAAAAACAACAACTGCTTTTTATTTTTTTATTTTGACATATCACTATTTTGGCTCTGGCTTGGCAAGCAATTTCCTTATCAATGGGAGGAGACAATAGGAAAAAAATAGAGATGATAGCCCTCCTGCTCTTTGTCAGCCTCTTTACAAAAGTATAATGTGAGAGATCAGTTCACCTGGAGAAATGGCCACATTGGAAAGTGGACTCTATGGCATTGTACCCGATTGAAGTCCTTCCCTTCCCCAAACAAAGCCTGTAGCCACAGTGGGGCATTTGGGGGCAGCACCCCACCATCAATGAGCCCTGCCCCACCCCGGGAGAATGCCAGACTCCCCAGACCCCCCCCCCCGCGCTGGTGCGCCCACCTCTCTCAGCAATGGCAGAGAGGCGCACCAGGGGAGGAAAGGGAAGCTGCTTTGCCACTTCTGGTCAGTATCACTCCAGGTGATCAGCTGTTAAACCTAACACCTGATGAAGGGGAGTGAAACTGACTAGAAGCAGCAGGGCAGCTTCTCTTTCCTTCCCCAGCCTTCCCCGAGTTTGGGGGCGGGGCTGGGGAAGAGGAGCCTTCTCTCTTTCATTTTTCTTCCCTGCCCCCCAGTAAACTAATTAAGTTCCCTGCTCCGGCTCCCCTGCCCCAGTGCCCCAGTCTCTGCCCCACCAGCCAAACATTTCTGACTAGGGGGGCCACCCCAAACCCCGCCCTCCTCAGGCTCCACCCCCAAAATCTCCAGGCATTTCCCCAACCCAGAGCTGGCAGGCCTAACCCTGCCCCTCTTCCTTCTCTCCTCTCAAGACCTCACTCACCCAGAACATCTTCGAAGGCTTTCTTGAGCTCCATAGAATCTTTCATTTTGAAGACGTGTTTCTCGCCCGCCTTCTTCGACGCCACCTCGTTCATACCGTCCCAGTCTACGTCCAGGTTCCCGACACCAAAGACGTAGATATCTGAGGGAGACACACGTTATTCATCTGAAGGTGTGAGCTCAGACTCACGGAAGTTTTTTGCTGGAACAAATTTTTGTTAGTCTTGAAAGGGGCCACTGGATTCCTGGTTCATTCTGTGGCTACGGACCACCCATCCAGAATGAAGGAAAAGATATGTCACTGGGGAAGCTGGAAAGAAAGACTGTCACAGTCCTCACAGCTAGCAATGAGGTAAGACGAATCCAGTGCATTAGCAACCATCTGAAAGGGGTACGTTTCTACTTGACTTCTAAACATCAATAACTTTGGGGAACAAATTCCTGTCGCATATTTATGCCATACTTTACTCCAAGGAGCTCAAAAGAGTAGATACGTGGTTGTCCCTTCCTCTATTTCAGGGGTCCACAACATGGTGCCCTGCCGGACTTGTTTAGTTTCTGCAGGGCATGCAGAATATATATATATATATATATAAAGAATGTCATAACGGTGTGAAGGCCAACAGACCTGGTTAGTTAGGGTTGCCAAGTCGTTTATACTCACCGGCGGGGGACTGTCCCTGGGCTCCGGGAGTTGTTGCGGGATGTGCGCGTGCGTGCGCCGATCGGGGCCACGCCCCCAACGTGCTCTACGTGGTTGCGTCACCTCTGGTGACGCAGCCACGCTGCGCTTCGGGGGGCGGGGTTCCCCCCGGGGCCCGATTACATGACGGCGAAAATTGGGCCTCCAAAGCGGGGGTTTACCCGCCACCCGCCCCCACTTGGCAGCCCTATGGTTAGTAGGGTTGCCAGCCTCCAGGTGGGGACTGGGGATCTCCCGCTTTTACAACTGATCTCCAGCTGACAGAATTAGCTCCCCTGGAGAACATGGCTGCTTTGAAGAGTGGACTCTATGGCACTTTAGGCTGAGGCCCCTCCTCTCCCCAAACCCCGCCCTCTCCTGGAGCCACCTCTAAAATCTCCAGGTATTTTCCAACCCAGACCTGGCAACCCTACTGGTTAGTATTTCCACATAGGTTGAATGTGTGCCCTGTGATAGGCCCCAGAAACCTCTGCAACGTGCAGGGACATTATGGCACATGCTCACTAGATTCCTTATTGATTTAAAACACTGTTATGCTGCCTGTTCACACAATCAGGGTCACCCAGGCGGCACAGGTACTAGGGCTGCCAACCTCCCAGTGGCTCCTGGAGATCCGCAGGAATTACAACTGATCTCCAGATGTCCAATCAGTTCCCCTGGAGAACTGGACTCCACTGGAGGATGGAGTCTATGGCATTCCGTTTTAGTTTATTTTATTAAAACCTTTATAGGCCATACTTTGAGGTGGCTTATACCCTGCTAAGGTCCCTTCACTCCTCAAACCCTGCACTCTGTAGGCTCCATCCACAAACCTCCAGAAATCTTCCAACCTGGAGTCGACTACCTTACAAACATTAAAACGTTTGAACAATTAAAAACGACATTATAAAATAATTAAATACCAGGATAAAATAATATTATAAAATAATGCAATAAAAACACATAAATAAACAACCCCAGAACTAGGGAGGAGGGGCAAAAACTGTTACTGGGGTTAGGCCACTCCCCCCCCCCAAAGTCCTTGGCAAGGAATCGATTGTGAAAAGAATTCCCTGAGAGTAGAAAGTTTGGAAATCACTGAGTTGCCAAGTCGATCTTCTGCCGGAGCGGGGGGCTCCCGGCCGGTTTCTGGTGTGCGCGCGTGCGCGCCGCATGCACATCACCCAGAAGTGACGTGACAACAGTAGGCACGCTGGGGGCGGGGCCATGGCCATACGAGGGAAAACCATAGAGTTTTCTCTTGGATTGCAGTGGCCCTGCCCCCAGTGTGCCCCATGTGGTCGCGTCACTTCCGGGTGACGCGCACGTCAGGGTGGAATTCCCCCAGGGGCCCAATCCAGCGGCGGCGGGGAACGGGCCTCTGGGGCGGGGATTTCCCCGCCCCCTTGCGGGGACTTGGGAAGACTAGAGTTACAGTAAAGGCCTTCCTCCAAACTATGACATGGCCTTGGACTTGGGATTTTAACATACCCAACAGGCCACTCCCCCCCCCCCAAAGTCCTTGGCAAGCAATTGATTGTGATAAGAATTCCCTGAGAGTAGAAAGCTTGGAAACCATTGAGTTACAGTAAAGGTCTTCCTCCAAACTATGACATGGCCTTGGATTTGGGATTTAACATACCCAACAGCCTTGAGTCAGTTCACAGACTGAGAGTTGCCAACCTCCAGGTGGGGCCTGGAGATCCCACAGAATTATGACTGATCTCCCAGACTGCAGAGATCAGTTCCCCTGGAGAAAATGGCTGCTGGGGGGGGGAGACACTCTGTGGCTTCAGACTAGGGTTGCCAACCTCCAGGTTGGGACTGCAGATCCCCAGAATGACAGTTGATCTCCAGATTACTGATATCAGTTCCCCTGGAGAAAATGGTTGCTTTGGAGAGTGGCCTCTGTCAATGCTCCCTCCCCTTCCCCAGGCTCCAACCCCAAATCTCCAGGCATTTTCCAACCCAGTCTTGGCAACCCCACATTAGACCCTGCTGAAGTTCCTCCCCTCCCCAGACTCTAACCCCTAGCCTCCAGGAATTTCCCAGCCTGGAGTTAGCAACCCTAGGGGAAAACTGAAATTATCATATGGCCGTTGTGTGTGGAATAGCCAGGAGATCCCCGGGGGATAGCTGGGCTGCCGAAGCTGTAGCTCTTTTTTGACACCACGTAAGTGGCGAGCTATTCTTATTTTTAGGCTAAGAGTGCTGTGACTTGCCCAAGGTCACCCAGATAGTTTCAAGTGAGGATGTGAGGAATCAAATCTGGTTCTCTAGATTAGAGTCCGCTGCTCTTAACCGCTATACCAAACTGAGGGGGAATTAACCTGTGTGTGAAGCAGGCGGTCTTCCCCAGAGCCCCCAAAGCAGACCCCTGCCAGTCTTTATTTTTTGCATTTATATCCCACCCATCCGGTAAACGGGCTCAGGGCGGGTTACAACATTTCAATAAATACAGTAAAATTCCATTTCCTTTACTTTCTCAGCTGTTTGCTCTCTTTTTTGTAGTTTCACACAATTGAAGCTGTTGAATTGTAAAATTTTGGTTCAGAGTTGCCAGCTGTTGATTGATATTCATCATCTGATCCAGTAGAGGGCGCAAAGAGTCCGCCAAAAGTTTAGAGAACTTAGTGGTTTCTTCCGGAAATGGGCTCAGGCTTCCCACTGGTTTCACTTTTGCTTGCTTGTCCCTCTCCATTTTTTTCCACGCCATTTTTAAGGATTGTTTACTTTTATAAAAACTTGCTGAAGTCTCTGAAATTTGCCCAAATGCTTATCATAGGTAGGTTTCTGGTAGGTTTCTTAAAATTTGCCCAAATGCTTATCATAGGTAGGTTTCTGGTAGGTTTCTTAAAACAGATTTTAACGCTTTTACATCCGCTCCCCCCTTGTTCAATCGCTTTTAAGTCTCTGCGTGTAGGAGGGACCCCTCCCCCGCTCGCTTTTCTCACCTTCCCCCGGGGGGTGCTTTCTTTTTAAATTGTCAGTGTTTCGCTTTCACTCGACTCACTGTTCATTGTTGGTCCTTGGTCCTGCTCAGCATACGTTTTAAACGCTCAATCTCCAACGCTTGTCCCAGTCAGCGGCTCTGATTCCATATCGACACATAGCGGCAGGACTGTCGGGGCAGAGGAGCACCTCAATTCCCCAGCAAGGCGCTGGCAAAGAGGCAACCCCTCAAAAGCCCTATGGCTAGGAACCTTTCACAAAGGCTCCGGGGATGGTGATGAACAATCGCCCCCCCTCCTATCCACTAGCACGCAGATCGTACCCCCGGGAGGTCCGGGAGGTGCGTATGCCAGCATGTCGCCATAAACCGGAAGTCGCGCCGCCACATTTTGTATCAGCTGTAATTTCTAGTTCAGCTTCAGGGGTAAGCCTGCATAGAGCAAGTTGTAGTAATCAATCCTGGAAGTGACCATTGCATGGGTCACCGTAGCTAAGTCCTGGGGGGAGAGATAGGGCTCCAGTAGCCTGATCTGCCTAAGATGGAAGAATGGAGATCTGGCAACTGCAGCAATCTGGGCCTCCATAGATAAGGAGGTATCCAGTGTTACTCCCAGGCTCCTCCCTGACTGGGCTGGCACCAAAGGTGCCCCTTCCAGTGTGGGAAGCCTGGTGCCCACCTCCATACCCCCACGACCCAGGTAAAGGACCTCCATCTTCGATGGGTTTAACTTCAATCAACTCTGCCGCAAACATCCAGCCACAGTGTCCAAAGCCTCAGCCAGATTTCCAGGAACGGGTGACGGGTGACCGTCCATTAACAGACAGAGCTGAGTGTCATCAGCAGACTGATGGCAACCCAGCCCATAACTCCGGACTAACTGGGCGAGGGGGCTTATACAAGGAGGGCCCTCTCTGAAGTCTGACTGGATAACTATTGCTGTAACAAAGTAAGCTTTACGGGACTTACCCAGATAGTCTTTTCGGTTTGCTGCCACATTCAGTAAGTCTTCTATCCTGAGCGTAGCATTTCTGGGGGAGCCACCCATATTGGACTTCCCTAAGAGAACACCCAAACAATTCAGCAAAAGGGACGGTAGTTCCCAAACTACACACAAGGTTGTCATGAGGTAAACGGTCAAAGGCCGAACTCCGCCCTGATTTCTGTACTATGGAAACACACCAGCCTCCTCCACCTCGCCTTCTACCCCTCACCGTCCGTGAGCAGAATGATGGCGTGGCGGGTTTGATCCCAGCCCTTGTCATTAGAGGCTCGGTGGCTGATCATCATGCGGTAGACAGCCATCAGCGCTTGCTGGATGTTGGTCCCTGTCGCATTGCCATGGTCTGCAAGAGGGAACAAACAGGCCCCACAGTCAAGTGATACGCACTTATACTTTGCCACTTCTGAAACGTGAGGTGGCATGCAAAACAGATTTTTTTTTTTAAAAAAAAATAGCAAATAATAAGTATTTTAAAAAACAACAGTGTAAAAGTGAGCAGAATTCGATTAGAGGCAAGACAGAAATACAAAAAATAAATAAGGCCATGCAGAACTAGATAGGGTTGCCAGCCAAAGGCTGGTGCCTGACAGGAGAATGGGGGATGGGGACAAAGGGGGCTGGTGCCATCATGTCAATATAACATGATGAGAGCCAGTTTGGTGTAGTGGTTACGTGCGCGGACTCTAATCTGGGAGAACCAGGTTTGATCCCCTGCTCCTCCACTTGCACCTGGCTGGATGACCTTGGGCAAGCCATACTTCTGATAAGAGCTGTCCTTGAAAAAGAGCAGTTTCTGCCAGAGCTCTCTCAGCCCCGCCTACCTCACAGGGTGTCCGTTGTGGGGAGGGGAAGGGAAAGGGGTTTGTAAGCCGCTCTGAGACTCCTTTGGGTAGTGAAGGGCGGGGTATAAATCCGATCTCTTCTTCTTACCAGCTAGAACCCTGAAGTGATGTCACACTGCTCCAGGATTCAGTAGAAACTCTATGGCTTTACCACTGAGTTTCTATTGAATCCTAGAGTAGTGTGATATCACTTCCAGGTTTGCCCTGGAAATGACACCATGTTGTGGATGTGACAGCAATATTTCCCTTATTTCCCTCCCACCAGGCTACCAAGCGGCAGTGAGGGCTGGGGGGCTGCCAGTGGGAGGCCTGGCAATCCTAGAACTACGAGAGTTCAGCTCAACTGTCCCATGCCATAATCCACCCTGACAAAAGGCTTCCTGGACTGCTGTGTCCTCCCTGGATAGGGTTGCCAGACTCCTTGGTGGAGGTGGGGGTCCCCTGCTGACAGGCCCCACCTCCCCACCGCCAATCAGCTGGCCACCAGGAGGGAACTTACCCCAAAAAAGAGGGGGATGCAATGATGTGCCGATATCATTGCCCATGTGACCCAGAAGTGACATCATCACGTACGGGTTGTTGGAGCGACACTCTGGTTACTTGGGCAAAACGTCTATGGTAGAAGCCAAATTTAAGATAAAAGTTTTTGCCCAAATACCAGAGCATCGCCCTGATATCCCAGAAGTGATGATGTCACTTCTGGGTCACATGGGCAGTGATGTAGACACATTGCTGCACATCAGATGGGCCTCCCTGCTGCTCTTGGTAAGTCCCCCTCCCTTCCCCCACTGGTTACCAGGTGGGACCTGGCCACCCTATTTAGATCAATACCGCCCACTGGCTGGGACTCTATGGAGTGCAACTTCCTTACCACCCTTTACAGCCCAAAATTCCCGGATATTTGGGTGTGGAGCACAGGGAGGGTAGGCTTGGGGGGGGGGGACCTCAGTTGGGTACAGTGCCATACAATCCACCTTCCAAAGCAGCCATTTGCTCCAGGGGAAGTGATCTCTGTCTCCTGGAGATCAGTTTTCATTCCAGGAGATCTCCAGTCCCCACCTGGATATTGACAACCCTACGCCAAATGGTGTTCCTGGGGAGGTTCTCTGTCCACCGGGGAGCCAAGTTTGGAGGGAATTTTGAGCTGCAAGGCGAGTGGGCAGGCAAGGAAGCCGCATTTCAAGGGTGGGAATCCTTCCACCCATGGAAACGCTCCGGTCATTTCGAGCCATTGGTTTCCCCTTGCCTGGTGGTATTATGATGGCTTCTAAGTCGGTCTCTTGGCCCCTGTGTGCTTAGCAGTCAACCTTGACTATCTTGGCCTGGCTGCTTGCATTGGCCTGCTCTACTGCCTGCTTCCCCCATCCAGTCAACCGCCTGCCTATCTGCATGGTTATTAGCTTTTCTCTCGGTGCCTGGTCAGGGAGTTGGCACGGCTGGACACTTATCAGGCCTACGGCACTGCAGGACAGCCTGTCACTGACCGGAGATGCCAGACCAATCTAAGGTCCGGCGGCCAATGACGAAGCAGAGTACAAGACAATTGTGTGAAGGGTTGCCAGCCTCCAGGTGGGGGCCTGGAGATCTTGCAGAATTACAGCTCACTTCCCCTGGAGAAAATGGCTGCTTTGGAAGGTGGACTCTGTGGCACTGTAATCCACTGAGGCTCCTCCCCAGTCCCTTCCCCAAACCCCCCTCTTCCCAGGCTCCCCATCCCAAATATCCAGGAATTTCCCAACCCTGAGTTGGCAACCCTATCATTCGCCACCTCCTCCAGGCACCCCCTCACCTCAGGAAACAGGAAACTGCATGGGCCTCTGGGACAATGCCCCATTTCCTGGTGGCTGGAGCTCTGGAAGGAACACAGCCCTGATTCTTCTAAATTCATGGTCACCGTTGGAGCTAAAATGAGTGTGGGAGAGAGTTCTGTTTTGCTCCATGCACCATAGCTACAGTGGGGGGGGGGGAGGACAAGAACTACTGGGGGAGGGGGAACAGAGCTGTGATGGGGTGAGATCTGTGGACAGCTCCCTGTACCACTAAATCCTGCAGCCAGTTAACGCAGGGGTGTTAAACATACGGCCCGCGGGCCAGAACTGGCCCCTCTAGGGCTCTTATCCAGCCCACCAGCAACTGGTCATTACCTTTATTGCCACATGACAGTGGCTGCGCATTATGTCCCTGGGTACTGCCCCAGTGCTAATGAGTAATGGGCGGTGGAAGTGGGAGGGCGGGCATCAGGGAGATATTCTAAGGAAATGGTGTAAGACTGCTTCATGTTTTAAGCATGTTTGTATTTTGAGTAAAAAGTAATATTATTAATTGGGTTTGCCTGTACCCTTTATAAAGTTTATATCCCCTGTACCCAGGGGTCATTTCCTGCAAGAGCGCACAGGAGCGGAGCTTCGGCAGTAAGGAGCCCAGGGGGCGGGCACATGCAACAAGCCCCACCCCCTGCTCCCAGCAGCCCTCAGTCAGAGCAAGAAGCGGCCAGGTAAGTTGCAGAGCCCACCCGTCCTCCCAGTCCAAAACAGTCCAGTGGCACCTTTAAGACCAAGTTTTATTCAGGAACAAGCTCTCCCTCCTCTTCAAGGACAGATCTGCACGTTCCCCCCCCCCCCAATAGCTAGCAATCCAAAACAGTCCAGTGGAGCCTGAGGGGTGGGTGTTGCCTTCTGCCCCCATTCCCTTCTGACACACTTCCAGTGATGTCAGGGTGTGTGGCATATGCAAATAAGTTATGCTAATGAGTTATGCTAATGAGCTCCTGCACCTCTTTTTCTACAAAATGACCCCTGCCTGTACCTATCATTACGTTTTACGGCACACATGGCCCGGCCCAACGAAGTGGCATTTCTGTCAGATTTGACCCACGTTAACAAAAGAGTTCGACACCTCTGAGTTAACCGGTGCTCCCAAACCATTCCCCAGGCCGTGAATTTTAAAATAACAGTGGACCACGCTGCTAGCGGCCGGCCACCGAGGGCTGTTGGTACCTTCGTATTTCATTTTGTCCTTCATCTTTTCGATAACCAAGTCTGGGTCTTCAGCTATATCATCAAAGGTGTCAACGATTTTCTTAGGCTGGCTGGCGTAAGAGAACACAGCGAACCTGACCGGCACTTCGAAGCTGGCAATCTGGAAGTGGGAACGACAGAAGGAGCACAAAAGCAAAGGAGGGCGAGGAGATAAAGGAAGGGGTGGCTGGAACCTTGTGGTCAAGGATTTATCCTACCGCTGAGTGCTGCGTGTGTTATGTGCCATCAACTTGCTTCCAACTAGATCAATGGGAACACATTCGGCATCCCCCCATGTTTACCTCAGATTCATTAAGTTTTCTTTTTCAGTTGTTCAAATGAGTAGCAAGATGGTATACAGCTCCCACAAAATTACACCATATAACTCCTCCTCATTCACCACTGTGCTGGAAAGCCTGCGGTGAGATGGGCTCATATATTCACTGCCAGTAGACTTGCCCTAAAATTCAAACTTTCTGGAACTCAATATTAATGCCTATAAAACCCCAAGCTAAGGTTATGCAATACAAGCTAAGGTTATGCAATACTTGAGCGTCCCCAGTCAGTTTCATTAAACCTTTGGCATGATTTAAATATCCCCGTGAGCTCATTTCTATACTCTTGTTAGCTGTGAAGAATGTAATTGCTACCTTCAATAGAATCTTGGTTTTCCAAAATTTGGGATTACACCATAATGGACAGAATAACAGACGGTATTCAGATATTAGAAAACCCTTTGGCCAATTCAGACTTCCTGGAGAGATGGTATTCTTTTGTGGACAAATGGAGTGAGTGTAGGTGGGCAATTTTCTCAGTGGAGGGTGGTAAGCAGTGGGGTACCGCAGGGATCAGTACTTGGTCCACTGCTTTTTAACTTGTTCATTAATGATTTGGAGATGGGAGTAAGCAGTGAAGTGGCTAAATTTGCGGATGATACAAAGTTGTTCAGGGTGGTGAAAACCAGTGAGGATTGTGAGGCACTCCAAGGGGATCTGTCAAGGATGGGCGAGTGGGCGTCAACATGGCAAATGGGGTTCAATGTGGCCAAGTGCAAGGTGATGCACATTGGAGCCAAAAATCCTAAATATAAATACACATTGATGGGGTCTGAACTGGCAGAGACTGAGCAAGAGAGAGATCTTGGAGTTGTAGTGGATAACTCACTGAAAATGTCGAGACAGTGTGTGACTGCAATAAAGAAGGCCAATGCTATGCTGGGGATTATTAGGAAGGGTATTGAAAACAGATCAGCCAATATAATAATGCCCCTATATAAATCAATGGTGAGACCTCATTTGGAATACTGTGTGCAGTTCTGGGCACCACACCTTAAAAAGGATATTATGGCTTTGGAAAAAGTGCAGAAAAGGGCAACTCGAATGATAAAAGGGTTGGAACACTTTCCCTATGAGGAAAGGTTAAAGCGCTTAGGGCTCTTTAGCTTGGAGAAAAGACGACTGAGGGGTGACATGATCGAGGTTTATAAGATTATGCATGGGAAAGAGCAGGTAAAGAAAGAGGTACTTTTCTCCCTTTCTCACAATACAAGAACTCGTGGGCACTCCATGAAACTGCAGAGCGGTCGGGTTAGAACGGATAAAAGGAAGTACTTCTTCACCCAAAGAGTGATTAACACACGGAATTCACTGCCACAGGAAGTGGTGGGTGCTACAAGCATGGACGGCTTCAAAAGGGAATTAGATAAGCATATGGAGCAGAGGTCCATCAGTGGCTATTAGCCACAAGGTATAGCTAGGGGCTCTGGGGCAAGTGATGCTCTGTCTTCTTGGTGCTTGGGGGGGGGTCAACAGTGGGAGGGCTTCTAATGTCCTGGCCCCACTGCTGGACCTCCTGATGGCACTGGTATTTCTGGCCACTGTGTGACACAGAGTGTTGGACTGGATGGGCCTTTGGCCTGATCCAACTCTTATGTTCTTATAAATGCTGTTTTGATCAAGAAAATCCAAACTCTTTTGAAAACAATAGCACCACTTCTGTGGGAAGGTAACAGCATTCCGTGCGCCTTGGTGTTTAGTCATGCCGGCCACATGACCACGGAAACGTCTTTGGACAGGACTGGCTCTTCGGCTTTGAAACGAAGATGAGCACCGCAACCCTAGAGTCGGATTCGACTGGCTTTCGAGCAAGGGAACCTTTACCTTTACCTCTGCCTTTAGAGAAACTGAATGTAGTGAACTTTGTTTATGTTCGTTAGATCAGCATTCTATTATTGTTGTAAATGTTAAAATGCTTAGTGAAATAAAATTGGGGGGGGGGATTGCTTCCGACTTACGGTGACCCTATGAATTCATGTCCTCCAAAATGATCTATAGAATGAATGAATTTTATTGTTACGGCACCCAGCCAGCAAAAATGGTCTATAGTCAACAGCCTTGCGCAGGTCTTGCGAACTGAGGGCCTTTGTGGCTTCCTTGACTGAGTCCATCCACCTCACGTTGGGTCTTCCCTTCTTCTTGCTCCCTTCAACTTTTCCTAGCATTATTGCCTTTTCCAGTGAGTCTCATCTTCTCATGCGTTGTCCTGTCTTCTACCGAGTCTATTGAGACTCTTGTAAGGATCTGTTATTAAAACTGGTCAGTGATCATTCCCTTCTTACGTGGTGGAAGGCTACGGCAACCCACCTCTGCTCATCTCTTGCCTTGAAAATCCCACGAGGGATTAATTAATTTTATTTTTTTTTAAATGTGAAAAATCATGAATAAAACATAACTTAGTGGGAAAGTAATAATGGAAATTATTGGTGGATGGGCAAAAGTGTAAAGAAAGAGGATAAGAATGCGATTATGTGGTTAATAATAGTATATGTCCTATGGTTGGTAAGCATATAGGCTCATAGTTCTTTTTTGTTTGTTTGTTTGTTTGCTTGCTTTAAATAAATGGTTTCAAATAGACAAAGGTAAAGTAGGTCAGCTTGATGATATAAAAAGGAGTTCCTTCTATGGTTATATAAAGGTCAAACAATAACTTGGAAGATATTAAAACAATTGGTAAGGGAAGCAAAAATGTGTTAGGTTTTATCACTGATTTATTAATGACCTTGTTCTTAAGTTAGTTGAAAACAGGTGTATTTAGTATCAATGTACTGAAATAATAGAATAACATCCTTGAGTAAACAGTATAATAAGATATATTGATTAAAATGTAATAACTTACCTATAAAGATAAAACAAATATAATTTTCTTTTCTTTTTTTGGATTATTACTTGTAATAGAAAGCTATAGAGATAAGCTGGAAAGTAGAACGGATCCATGAAATATTCTATTTGTAATATGGAGTAATGGATATGTTACTGTATTGAATATGTATGGAATATGTATTTGTGGTGTTTAGGTGGTGGGTGTTTTTTCACTTTAAAAACCCAATAAATATACTTTAGAAAAAAAGAAAGAAAATCCAACGAGGTGGACCTTCATGGGGTTTCCGTACGTCGGTTGCACTTAATTATTATTTATTAATTAGTGCAGTCATTGTGGCCAAACTGGACTTTAGAAATGCCGACCCCAGAGGGCTTTCAAGGCAAGAGGCCTTCTGAGGTGGTTAGCCATGGCCTGCCTCTGCACTGCAACCTTGGTGTTCTTTGGTGTCCAGACGCTAACCGGGGCTGACTCTGCTTCGCTGATAAGATGGGGCTAGCCTGGGCTATCTCGGTCAGGCCCGTTTCCCCTTGGAATAATAGAGCTGGAAGGGACCTCCAGGGTCATCTAGTCCAACCCTCTACACAATGCAGGAAATTCACAAATACTTCCCCCCACACCCCCAGTGACCGCTATTCCATGCCCAGAAGTTGACAAAAAAAAAAATGACGACAAAAATCCCTTGAGACCTGTAGTTCTGAGAGGATTCCAAAAGTCTGTCACAATGTCCCATTCCACTCATAAGGCTTTGTTAGGCACAGTGCCTTTGAGGAAGCCACACTGGTTGTCTGAAAGAGTTCTAAACTGATTTAACTGTAAACAGGCTCTGAGGTAACTAGAAATCAGCACCATACCTAGCAAACCCATTTGACTACAGCTTCATACGCATGATGTTGTCCATACCAGCGACTCACAGAGAAAAGGAGAGGGTCTGAGGGTGCTGGCTGTGCCCTGACAACGCATGATCGCCTTGTAGTGGGCACAGCACCAACATGGATACAGACTGTATGCACACAAGCTCTGCCCCGTATTTGAAAACCTCCATAAAGTAGCTCCAAGCATAGGGACGTTCTCAAAGCAGTTCCAACCACAGGGACAGAGTGGGATTGCCAGGTCTTTCCTAACCACCGGCAGTGAGCGGCAAGTTGGGAAATTCCTGGAGATTTGGGGGTGGAGCCTGGGGAGGACAGAGACCTCACTGGGGTATAGTGCCATAGACCCCACCCTCCAAAGCACCCATTTTCTCCCCGGGAACTGATCTCTGTAGTCTGGAGGTGAGCTGTAATTCCGGGAGATTCTCCAGGCCCCACCTGGAGGCTGGCATCCCTAGGGCAGAGTCTACAGATGTACAATAGAGCCACTGTGACCATGTCCTGTGTTGTGGGTCAGCTTGGCCAGTTGAAACTCAGCCTGGAGGAAGACCCCTCGAGTGTCACAGAACCTGGGCCCAGCTCATAAGAAACAGCTGAAGATTCAAGGCTGACAGCTGACCCTGACTCTTCCAGTTAAACTACTGGAGGGAAGGATGAAGAACAGCTGGGGCAGGATGACTCCTCTGATTCCCCCTCAGTAGCAGACCAACACCGGGAGCGATCTCGCCAGCAACTTACAGAGAGAAGGCACAGTGCGCGTCTCTTGGCTCAGTGCTGGCATTTGGCTGACAGCAGCCCTGAGTGACTGCAGGACCTTGCCTTGCATAACTCAACTCGTTGTGAGAGGCTTACTTAAACCAAGCCTTTCCAGCCACGAAAGCAATGAGTCACATATCTGTGAACCCAGTGAACACAACTCTTGCCTTGCCCCCTGTGATTTTCGGACTAACTTTGGACTTTGCTATCTGGACTGCCTTTGGATTCTGCTTCTCAGACCTGTCTGCACCTAACAAATTACCGACCCTTGGACTGGCTTTGACTTTGCTTTCTGGACTGCTCTGGCACTGACTCTCTGCTCAGGTGCCTGTTGTGCCTGCCAGCCGGAACATCATGTAAATATGTGGGGTCAGGGCCAAGATCCTCATCCCCACACTATCCCTCACTAACCTGTATGCACTTGCGTTGTATGAACAGGGCTAAGATTTATCCCTGACCAGATCTTGTCTGTACAAACTTACCCTGTCAATGATGATTTCCAGAGAGTTTTTAAAGATCTCAAAGTTCTCTTTGGTGACGCTGTGGGAGGCATCCGCAAGCAAGTAGACATGGAGGAAACTGCCTTGGGACAGTATAAGTCGTCGTCCTAAAGATTGAGCTGATGAAGAGAAAGAAGAAAAAACAAAAAACATCATTCGCTAGTCCAAAATTCCCGGCCAGCAACCCACCACACATAACTGAGTTTGTACTACAGTTGTTGGCATCATCGGAGGAATGGAAATCCCAGCACTATCAATCACTGAACTGTGTTGAGCTTATTCAGAGCATATGGAGGATCATAACTCTTTTCAATAAATAGACTGTTACATAAATTCTTATATTTTATTACTACTCATCAGATCTCAGCAGGTCTGAATGAGGATGAAGTCAGGGACCATCGAAGAGCCAACAGGCTGCAATACAGAGATTCTCCCATACCTTTCGATCCATGACTCATTCAGAAGACGAGGTAGACACCGTTCCACCATCCGATCACCCCTACCCTGATCTTTCCTCTGCCCCATTCTGCATTTGCAGGTAGCAAGCAGGACTCCAGGTGTATCACATAGAAAGCCCAGGAAGTAGACATAAAATGACCAGAGGTTGGATCTTACGGATTTGGTCTGTTAATGGTAGCATCTTTCTCCAACACAAGATGCCTTCCCTCAACGCAAGACACACTCTTGTGCTGGAGGAAGATGCTACCATTAGTGGAACAAATCCATGGGCTCAAGAGCCCAGGTGGGCAGAAGAAACAATGACCAACTCAGCTTCTCACTCTAGAGAGGGTTCAGCTTTGACAACCCTACTTAACTTTTGATGCAAGTGTGGTAGAGCATAGGCTTGGCCAACAGGGGTTCCACATAAAATCCCTGGCACCTCTTGTTAAAAGGAGCTTAGGTAGCCAAACTCTGCTGGAGATCTCGGCAAGCCCCTGCCTGTTAGTAAGGTCACTACTGGCCTGACTAGAGAGATATTCTGACCAGGTGTGAAAGTCAGCTGGTGTGGACCAGCAGAGAGTAAAGGTAAGAAAGTGGCCAAAGCAGTACCTCCTGACTTCTGTTTTGAGCCCCGTAAGAGAGTCAGTGGTGGTCTCTGAAAGAAGACTACGATAGTATGATAATGATATTTGAGCGCCATGCTCAACCAGACAAGCCTAAGAGTGACATTTCTGCTCTTCTGGGCAAAAAGATCTCTTCACTGGGTGTTAATGGAACATTGTGTAGGGCTGTGTAGAGAGCCAGTTTGGTGTAGTGGTTACGCGCGTGGACTCTAATCTGGGAAAACCGGGTTTGATTCCCCGCTCCTCCACTTGCACCTGCTGATGTGACCTTGGGTCAGTCACACGCTCTGGCACAGCTGTTCCTGAAAGAGCAGTTTGTGTCAGAGTTCTCTTAGCCCCACCCACCTCACAGGGTGCCTGTTGTGGGGAGGGGAAGGGAAAGGAGTTTGTAAGCCGCTCTGAGACTCCAAGTGAAGGGCGGGGTATAAATCCAATCTCTTCTTCTTCTTCTTCTTGTTCTGTGAGGAGGTTTGGAGGGCTACAGATTAGGAAGGAGCAGGTTTTTATACCCCACTTTTCTCTACCCAAAGGAGCCTCAAAGCGACTTACAATAGCCTTTCCCTTCCTCTCCCCACAACAGGCACCTTGTGAGGTTGCTGAGAGTTCTGAGAGACCCGTGACTGGCCCAAGGTAACCCAGCAGGCTTCATGTGGAGGAAACCCAGTTTCTCCAGATTAGAGCCTGCCACTCTTAACCACTCCACCACGCTGGCTCTCAGAGTAGGAAGTAGTGTTCTGCCACTGATACAAAAAACCCTTGGGATCTTGCCCCTCATTCCATTCCCCCAAATTTCTGGTTCTCAAAATCATCCAGATTTTCTTGCCATTCCCTAAGACCGAGTAAAAGGTTCCAGAGCTAAGCCCTAAGAATAGCCAGTTGATTGGTGGCAGAGAGGTCGGGCCTGGGAACAGGGAACCCCCGCCTCCACCCTATATTCCACTGAGGTGCCCCCCTTCTCCAAATCCTACTTTCCCCTGGCTCTACCTCCAGATCTTCAGGAATTTCCCAACCTAGAGTCGGCAACACTAAGTGAATCTCAGACCCAATGGCTGATCAGATTACCTTCCAGGGCTCACCTTGAACAGGTCTATAGTTACAGCATCACTAGAACAGAACCAGAGATTAGAGGACTCAGACCTACCTGGCACATGGTCAGTCCCAGATGATACCACACTCAGAACATTGGTCAACGAGGCCCCGAATTCAGCTCCAACATCTTCAGCCCGGTCATAAGAGTAAGGGGCTGTGGAGGAGAGAGTGGAGATAACCCTTGTGGAACAAAATGGCAGAACTTGTGTTCCTGGAGAGGAGTGGAGTCTAGTGGGTTAGACCTGGGAGGAGGGGGGAAAGGAGCCAGGTTGTGTAAGGTGTGAAGTAAGACGAAACCTGGTGGCTTCTTTGGAAGTCAAATGAGCTTAGAGGTTTTCTGGAAAAGTAGTATTAAGATATTTTGAATAAATACAACTGAGCAGAACTGAGTGAAAGCCAGGACTCTGGGGATCTCTGGAAGATCAGTGGCATCCGTTTGTTTAAAGGCTGCATAACAACAGTAATACTTATCTCTCCTTATATATAATTCCATTTTCGAGTGGCAAAGTTCTATGTGTGCCAAAATCAGTTGGCTACCTGAATTGCCACTTAGAAGGCGCTGGCTGCATTGGCTACCTGGGTTGTGGAGTCCTGCCCACAGAAGCGGCGGCCAGCGTCTCCGGCTCAGTGTGGTCGGAGCCAACGGAAGGGACGGATGGGACTCTCCGCGGGGCTGGGGATGGCTGGGGCTTACTTCCGTCCAGCTCAGGTGCAGCGTCAGGGGTAGGGGGTGGGCCCTCGCTTTGGTTCTCTCCCACGGCCCCCTCCATCCCTTCTGCACCCCATACATGGAGTGAGGACCCAGCGAGCAGCAGCTGGATCCCCCCCTCATGCCACCGCCACCCCAGCTGCTCACCACTCCTCCCTGGCTCCAGCTGCTCAAGATGGCTCCACCTCACACGCCGGCTCCGTTGCCCACCACACGCTGTTTACAATGGCTGCGAGTCAGAGTGGGGAAGGGGGGGAGGATGGAAAAGCCGCGCAGCCAGAGTTGGGGCGGGGGGGGGGCTGCCAAGGTGGAGGAGAGGGTCGCCCATGGCAGCAGTGGTCTGGCCATGGCACTCAGGGGGGACAATAGGCAACTGCTGCAGGCCAGAGCACTCTCTAGAGTTTATTGCATTTCTTTCTGCAACGGGCCTTATTACTAGTATTTAATATTTCGCAATTACCAGCAATAGTTCAGCATTGCACATAGAGCATGTACAACATGCCCCCTGAAAGGTTTACAACCTGAAGGAAGCCCAATACATGAGTGAGGGAAATAAGTGAGGGAAACTGAAAAGAACAGATGACGTTTTGACTGTGTAGCATCTGCCATATGTAGCCCACTTCTCATACATAAGAAGGGCCCCACTGGATCAGACCAATGGTCCATCTAGTCTGGCACCCTGTCTCACACAGTGGCCAACCAGTTCCTCTGGAGGGTCACCAACAGGGCAGAGAGGCCCTCCTGGCTGTGGGATTCAGAGACTTAGTGCCTCTGAAAGTGGAGGTTCCCCTCAGTAACCATAGCTACTACCCATTGATAGACTTATCCTCCATGAATCTATCCAATTCCCTTTTAAAACCATTTATTCCTGTGGCCAGGCCATCACTATAGTCACAGGCAGTGAATTCCACATTTTAATCACTCTCTGGGTAAAGTAGTAATTGGTGCCCATTTGCTTCTTCCCAAAAGCAAAGAGCCAATACTGCCTTTCCCCCACCTCATTGGAACAGGAAGTGCTCCAGCAGAGCTCAGGAGACATCGCTTTTGCACCTACAGGAGTACCTGTTTAAAAACAGCTGCCTCCATGGTAGGAGAAGGCTTGCCTTTCTAGGGTTGCCTGGCAACCAGCAGGAGGGCTGTGGGCAGGGATATGGGAGAAGGGCGACGCTGGCTGTGGCATCACGTCACCTCTGGTCAAAAAGCGGAAGTGTCATATGTAGCTATAGGAATCGTAACTCTAGGAATTGCTGGAAACTCCATGGTTTTATCATAGAGTTTCTGGCCATTCCTAGAGACAGGACACTGCAGCTGGTTTTGTTTCCTTGTTTTTTTTTACTTCCCCCCCCCCCACCGCCACTCAGAGCAGCAGTGGGTGATGGAAGCAGGGGGCCAGACAGCAAGGGTGTCAACAGATTCTGAAACTAAAAATACAAACACAAAAAGGATAGAAAGGTCCGTGAAGACGGAGGAGAGAGATAGCCAGAATGCTTACCTCTACAGCTTGTCTCAGCTCCTGACCACTCCCCCTCTGGAGTGCAGACATGCTGGGATGACCCTACCAAGTCCAGCCCCTTCATACACTGGAATGAGATCCGATCGCCAAGACGATTACGCCCCCCACTGGAAAGTGCTCCTGGAGGGGTGGGGAGACTCCGGCAATGTCCCGCTGTAGATAGACAAAGGCAACACATGCACAAAATGGGGGGAGAAGCCATGATGATCTAGGGGGATGTGCATAAACATGGCGGCTTTAATAGTCTCACTCTTCCAGCCCCACCATGAAGCAACACCTTTGCAAAGCTCTCTAGCACTTTCCATTTGCCCGCCTATGGCAGGCAAACCACCACCCTCAGCCCCAGTTCTTGATCCTCAATGGGCACAATTTCCAAGCTGCTTTTATACCCGTTTAAGGATATTTTTCCCCCTGAGCAGGAAGAAGTAGCCTGGTGTGAGGTCTGGGAAGGGGGAATGGAATAAAGGTAAAGGTTCCCTTGCTCGAAAGCCAGTCAAATCAAACTCTAGGGTTGCGGTGCTCATCTCTGTTTCCAAGCCAAAGAGCCAGCACTGTCCGAAGACATTTCCGTGGTCATGTGGCCGGCATGACTAAACACCAAGGCGCACGGAACGCTGTTACCTTCCCACCAAAGTGGTACCTATTGATCTACTTGCAATTTCTTGCTTTCGAACTGCTAGGGTGGCAGGAGCTGGAACTAGAGACGGGAGCTCACTCCGTCATGCGGCACACTCGGGTCTTGAACTGCTGAACCACCGACCTTCCACAGCCTGCAGTTCAGCCCCCCCAGCTGGTCACCCCATAGAGTTACCAACCTTCAGGTGACACCTGGAGATCTCCCACTATTACAGTTTACCTCCAAATAGCCAGGATCAGTTCTCCCTGGAGAAAATGGTTACTTTGGAAGGTGAACTCTATGACATTATAACTTGCTGAAGTCCCTCCCCTCTCCAAACCTCCCCCTCCCCCGGCTCCAACCCCCAAATCTCCTGGTATTTTCCATCCCAGAGCTGGCAACCCTATCACCCCCCGACACCTACAGTGCCAGCAGCAATAACCAGTAAAAGGAAAACATAGCCTTCAAAATGATAAGACAGCTATGTATAATATGTAATCCTGCCCTTAAGGTGGCATTTTGTGAGCGCAAAACTAACACAGCTCATAGCATGTGCGCTAACAGTTCTCTCTTTCTCCTACAGAGGACAAATCTGTGCCAGGAAGCATCAAAGGATTCACCTCCATCATCGCAGACGGGAGAAGTTCCGTTCCAGCGGCCGTTGGGCAGGCAATGCCGTTGGGCTGAACCGTGGAGCTGGTAGCCGTCGAAACACTCAAAATTCAAGACACTGCCAACACGGTGTGCGCTTAGTCGTGGGCCGTAGAAGCCATTTTCAAAGGTCTGCTGAGGAGGACATCGCATGTCTACAAGGGAGAAAGTCAGGACTCAGAACAGCCGGCATGGCGCAGTGATTTGAGTGTCAGACTAGGGCCTGGGACAACTGGGTTTCAGTCTGTCATGAAAACTCGCTGGCTGATCCTGGGCCTGTCACAGTCTCTCAGCCGAACTTACCTCAAGGTGGTTGTTGTGAGAAGAAAGCTGAGGAGGGGAGATAGACCACTTTTTAAACCAGGATATAAATACAAGTATAACATGTGTCAAACAACATTCCAACATTCCAGTCACACTGCACAGCAAAAAACCCAAAAACAAAACAAAAAAACCCTCTTCCAAAATCTGGTCCCTCTCAAAAACAGTTGGCAACATTATATTTTTTTGCTATCGATCTGCAGCCAACTTGTGGCAATCCCACAGGATTTTAAAGAAAAGAAACGTTCAGAGATGGTTTGCCATTGCTTACCTCTGGTTCCGGTCACACGAGCGGGATATCGTGCCACTGAAGGGAAGCAAAGTAGAGCTGGAGCAAAAAGAACCGCGGGAGTGCGATCCGACGCGCCCCCGTGGCTCCGTGCTCCGGCAGGCGATCAGACGTAGTGCGGCAAAACGGACGTTGTGCGTTTGTGCGCATGCGTGGGACGGGGAACGGCGCTGGCTGCGACGGGCTACCAGCTTCCCTGATCAGACGCCTAGAGTTGCCGTGCATCATCTGGAAGGTAGTGCTCTTTGGGTAGTACCTTTTTAATGCGCGTTTACGGGCCAAAGGGGCGGATTGGGGACGGGTGTGTGATGATTCCCAGATGTTGTGGTGTGCTCATGCCCACTTGATGCGCCCCTGATCCATCCCTCTTACGTGGCAAATCCTCCCGTGTGACTAGTGTGACCGGAGCCTCTGTGTAGCAACTCTGGCCTTCTTTGGTGGTCTACCATCCAATCACCAACCAGCGTAATCGGAAACTGTTAATTTTACAAGATCTGATGAGATCAGGCTAGCTTGGGCTATCCAGATCAGGCATTATAATTATACTACGCTGTAATTATACGATAAATTACAAAGTGCCATTGAGCGTGAAAAGTCCCTCACATGGAGGATTTCGTATAACATCCCTGGAAAATAGGACAAAAAAATTGTCCCCCTTTTGTCATTGGGAAGGCTGAGGGTCTGAGACTAGGATCATTTAACACGTATTTTGATTGCTCCGGCAAGAATGACATTGTGAAGTATTTCCCCACAGCACTGTGATGCTTTCATGCACCTACTGGGTTTCCTCTACCTTTTCTGTACTCCTCCTCCGAACCTGCTTTTGTAGCAAAACAGGAATAGTGCGTGGGAAAGTCTGGGACCATTTTCCCTGCCCCAGTCCTCACTGTGGCTACCCTCCCCCCCACAAGATCAGGTTTTTAAAACGTTTTTTAAAAAATCAGTAGGTATCCACACACTGCCATAACCCAGAAGGCCCAGAGGCTAGCTTGATAATATCAGATCTCAGAAGCTAAGCAGGGTCAGCCCTGGTGAGTACTTGGATGGGTGACGACCAATGAAGTCCAGGGTCCCTATGCAGAGCGAGGCAATGGCAAACCAAAGCCAGTTTGTGGGTTGTGGTTAGGAGCGCGGACTCTAATCTGGGAGAACTGGGTTTGATTCCCCACTCCTCCACATGCAGCTGCTGGTGTGACCTTAAGTCAGTTACAAGTTCTTTCAGAGCTGTTCTCTCAAGGGCAGTTTCTCTCAGAGCTCTCTCAGCCTCACGTACCTCACAGGGTGTCTGTTGTGGGGAGGGGAAGGGAAAGGAGCCTGTAAGCCGCTCTGAGGCTCCTTTGGGTACTGAAGGATGGGGTATAAATCCAATCTCTTCTTTTTCTTCTTTCTGTCCATCTATTGCCTTGAATACCCCGTGAGGGTCAGGATAAGTCACCTGCAACTTGATGGCATTTTACACACATGTACGTCAACATACTGATATAAGCCACTGGCCAAGCAGTGGTTACATTGTACCACACACAGGGAGAATGCACTGTTGGGAAAATCACATGTAGCGTTCTCTCCCAATATACATGCTCTCCCCGTATGCACAATTGTTGCGATTCCAGCACATGTGACCATAACAATGGACAAGGGACAGTGAAATGGATACATGAGCTCCCTTGCAACTAGTTAAATCCACTAGCCTTCCAGCAAACTCTAAGGTAACCAGCAATCTTCATATACCTCGGCATGATGCTTGGGTCACAAGTCTGCCGGAGGGGGAACGCATGGGAGACCAGTTCCCATCTGCCTGGCACATCCGGCTTCGCGCTGGGTATGGATAAGAGCCATCGGGGCAGGAATAGGTGAGGATGCTACCTTGGCGATACCCATCTGAGAGCAACATGGTGCCACCTTGGATAGACACCTGCGTTGAGCATGTCTGAGCTGAGTCTAGTGGAGATTCTTGCGTCGTAACACCTGTAGCACATGGGGAAAAGAGAGTCATCAGGTGAGGTTATTAAAAAAAAAATAGGATTTGTCTTTTCCTCACTGTTCAGTTTCAGCCAGATCCCAGCTGTGGTGCAGCCATAAAGAGAGTGCCTCAGAGAATATGCAGAGTTCCCCACTGGGAACGGCGAGAAAAGCAAGTGGGGATGGGGCCCCTCCCACACACAGAAACTAAAAAGCAATCGAACAAGGGGGGAGCGGAAGCAAAAGCACTGAAATCTGTTTTAAGAAACTTACCAGAGCGCGGATAAGCATATGGGTGAATTTCAGAGACTTTAATAAGTTTTTATAAAAGTAAACAATCCATTAAAATGGCGTGGAAAAAAGTGGAGAGAGACAAACAAGGAAAAGTGAAACCACGGGGGAGCATGAGCCCACGACCGGAAGAGACCACTGAGTTCTCTAAACTTTTGGTGGACTCTTTGCGCCATCTACTGGATCAGATGACTAACATCAATCAGCAGCTGACAACTCTAAACCAGAACTTTGCAGCTCAGCAGCTCCAACTGTCTGAAACTACAAAAAAGACAGAGCAAACAGCTGAGAAAGGCGTCATTTTCAAACTCCAGGATAAAAAAGAAAAAATTGACTCTGTTTCCAAAGCGTGTGACTGCAACTGGGAGAGCCAGCTGAGGATGCTAAAGAAGATGACAGAAAATCTAGTGGTGAATTGGACTCTGTGTCTTCCGACGAGGACTCTGCTTCAGAAAAGGGGGCGGCTGCCCCTAAACGAGAATACCAATTGAGGATTAGAAAAGATAAAACAAAGTGAAGGCTGAAGAACTCTGAATGGTGCCTTAAAGCATTTGTTATAAATTATGCTCTTGGGGTGGTCTTTAAACAGTTAAAAATGGTTAAAAAGATAAACAATTTAGCTTAATCGACTATGTTCAATGTAATACTAGCATTTTAGACTAACATTTATATGAGCTGATGTAATGATCTCCTATTCTTGGGGTTTTGGTTATTAGTAGTTTTCTTTACTTTCTCTTTAGATGTAGATGTTCCCTCCCTATTTTTTCATTGTAGTTTGTAGTTTATAGAAAATGCAATAAAAAATCCCCTCCGGGGGCATAAAAAAAAGAAAGAAAAGAAAAGAAGACCTGTTCATGAGAGAACCCCTCTCCAAGGGAAACAGCTAAATTTGAGTCCATTAGCATCTTAGAGACCAACAAGATTTTCAGGGCATAAGCTGGTGAGAACGACCTAACTGTTGGTAGATAGACAAAAGAACAATTAACCTAAAATCAGATCTCATCAAGGGAAGAAAGAGATAAAAGTGACACAATAAGCAGATGCAGTTACAGGCAGTACTGGAATACTGCTTTATTTTGCAATTATATGCTAACATAACTCCCCATCATGGAAGACTTCTCATAAAGAAACCACAGAATGTACCTAGGGTCCAGGGGTCCCCAACTCTTTTGAGCCTGCGGGCACATTTGGAATTCTGACACGGCTTGGCGGGCGCACCAACAAAGTGGCTGCCGCTGGAGGTGGAGCCAGCCACACAATGATTGCCACAGCTTTATTTCAATAGCACAGTGCAGATCGTTGTGCTGGGGTGGCAATTGCTGCCAAAGCAACATTTTTTTAAAACGTCAGCATAGCTAATACAATCTCCAATGGTCAATCAGAAGCCTGGCTAGGCAAAAGTCCTACCTGGCAATGCCCAGTCCCTAAAAACTAGGGTTGCCAGCCTCCAGGTGGGGCCTGGAGATCGCTCACTTTTACAGCTGATCTCCAGCTGACAGAGATCAGCTCCCCTGGAGAAAATGGCTGCTTTGAAGGGTGGACTCTATGGCATTGTGCCATGCTAAGGCCCCTCCCCAAACCACACCCTCTTCTGGATCCACCCCCAAAGTCTCCAGGTATTTTCCAACCCAGAGCTGGCAACCCTACTAAAAACATTTGGCGGGCACCAGAAAAGGCGTCAGCAGGCACCGTGGGCATCATGTTGGGGAACCCTGATACAGCCTTTTATCCCTCCTGCGTATAACCCTTCTTCCTCTATCCCAATATATGGCTATATCTGCCAGCTAAAACACTTCATGCATCTGATGCAGTTGGCTCGATTCCATGCAGTTTCATTTCACAATTAATCTGATAGCCTGTAAAAACCACAAGTATTTCTTTTCTTGTTTGCTGTGACAGATTAACTCAGCTACCCCTCCTGCAGAAGAACGACTGAAATTTTTTAAAGGAATGGGGAAGAGAAAGGAACCAAAAAACATAGTATGGAGTCAACATCCAGGAACTCCGGACCTTGGTCTCAGCTTTGTAATATTTTGGATAGTCCTAGGATCAAGGTATTGCATTGCCGTTTGGGGAATTTTTCCATGGATCAGCAGGCGTACCTACAATCTCAGAGTATAGATAAGGCGGAAAGGACATCAGGAAAAAAGTGCAGCTGAAGAAATAAAAAAAGGAGGAGGAATTACTCTTAAAGGAGACAGAAGTGCAAAGAGCTGGAGGGGGAAATAACCCGGACAGTCCAGGACCGTTTCTGGCCCCACTCCGGCTGTCCCTTGGATACAACCCATACCCTCCCCTGCCCGGCCGCCGCCGAGGTTTGACTACCTGCCCAAAGGATGAAGGTACAGAGGCAGAGGAGCATGGTATGGCCTCCAGTTCCAACCGGCACCCGCTTGCGTTTCCTGCAGCTGCAAAGTGGGAATCTCCAACCCAAACTTCCCAGCTACTGAGCGGAGGCCAGTCAGCGGCAGGATCCTCCTTCAAAGCTGGAAAGAGAAAGGATGCGGGGGGGGGGGGGGAGGGGGGTTGCGCAAGAGCCCCTGAAAGCCTGCTGCTCTCTGCCAAGCATCTCACAAAAGAGTTGGTTGTTGTTGTTGCCTGTTTTCGTTCTGCCCCAGCTTCTGTGCAGTGAAAGCAGGGGTCTCCTCAGTGCTCGCCTCGCTGGCTGTCATCCCTCAGAAGACCCAGGAAAAGACTGCAAAATGATCTGCTCTAGTTTTTTTTTTTTAATGATCTTATTTGATAGTGTCATAACCTCGCACTGAGCTGGCTCTGAACACCGACTCAGAAGCCTTTCAGAGGCCGGGTTCCCAACCCCCAGGCGGTAGCTGGAGGCCTCCCGCTGTCACGACTGATCTCCAGGCAACAGAGATCAGTTCCTCTGAAGAAAATGGCTGCTTCGGAGGGTGGACTCTTGGGTATTCTGCCCCACTGAAGTCCCTCCCCTCCCCAAATCCCCCACACTCCTCAGGCCCCACCCCCCAAAATCTCCAGGTATTTCCCAACATGGAGCTGGAAACCCTACTTAGAGGAGGA